TGCTGCCTTGCTAGTCCTTTACATACAGGCTAATTGGGTGGGTGAAAACCCTGCCTTCTTGTCTCAAATTGCCTCGTGCTCAGCTCATGCTGGCATTGCGTGCGTGCAGGTGATGGACACGGAGTAGAAGCAGTGGAGACCCGGACCCCACCACAGGATGGCTCCTGGTAGGAACCCATGTCCTGGTGCCAGCCTCTTCCCTCGCTGCAGGCTCGGGCAGACGAGGTCTGCGAAACCCTGTCTTGGTTGAAGTTACGCCTCCATCTGTCCTCCCTGCCCAGCGAAGCCAGCGGGCAGCACGTGGGCTGCGCCTTGGCCACGGCTCGGTGCACCCTGGCCTCAGAGGCTGCGCTCTCCTTCATCACAATTTTACAGCTAGATGTGAGGTTTTACACCAAAACAGTTCAGGCTCAACCACATGTTCACTTCTGCTGTCTTTGTTCCAGGGAATTACCAAGTTTGTAAAACAGAGGACTGGAGCAAACAGTGTGTTGTGTCTATAACAGCTGCCTACAGTTTCCCATCTGGCAGCATTGCACATATGGATCTTTTAATCTTTTACTGACAAGAGAGTGATGAATTAGTTTGGCATCTGCCCATTGGCAAGTCTGGCCACAGCACAACTGTTTGTAGCTGTCTTCTGGAAAGGTGGCTCTGCTGGAGATCTCTGGGAAAGGAAACTGGAGAATTTCTACCAGCCTCTGCTGTTCCTCTGCTCTTCTGGGAGACTTCCCAAGGACTGCATGACTATGGCTGAACTTTACTTGTTTTCTACCTGGGCTCCAAATTTAATATGTGCCTGCTGTTGTGTAGTAATCTTCAAGCATGAGCCCTTAACTGAGAGAAGTATCACTCAAAACCGTCTGAAGCTATAAATTTGTTACTTCAAAATTTTAAGTAGAACCTGTAATAACTCTGTAGGTGAGTAACAAATTCTGCTTCCTTTTTCTTCACACCATTTACAGGCATAAGGAAGGCTGTATGTCAGGAACTTCTACTTCCACAACATATCCAATGAACGTACTTCCTCCTCCCTGCCCCTTACGATACTGTACCCAAAGAGAGACCTTGAATTTGAAGAATCTATTGATGATTTAAATGTTCTTTTTTTGTCTAATGTTTTATAACATATAGCACGTTTCAAATCAATCCTGCAGAGTTTGAGGCAGGCTGGATGCTTTCTAATGTACGTTTGGGGTCCCAACTCCTGTGAAAGTTTCCATTCTTTAACTTGATGAATTCCAAATCCATGGAAAGCTTCCAAAGAGAAGCAGTGAACCCAGCTTCTGTTAAGATGTACTTAAAAGTAATTCCTGCAATGTCTATTTTGGACATTCTCTGCAAGTTACTCCCAAGAATATTTACAATTTATACTAAGCAAAATAATGAATAACTATTTGGAAATACTATTTTTCAAGTATATTGCTTTAGACAACATTTGCTGAAATAAATGAATAGCTATGGGCTTTTGCTGAGGTAAAAAATTGTTATTCTGAAATATGGACTGAAGTATTAAGAACTAAGTAGTGATTTTGATGAACCAGTAAATCCAGTGTGAAAGTTCAATATAATTAATATTTCCCAAATATAACTTCCTGTGTCTATTACGTATATAGCACATAAAACCCAAGGCTGCAGTCAGATGTTGACTAACTACTTAAGCACAGAGAGATATGTGGAAGGTTTCCTGGATATTTTTATTTATTTTCTTCAAGAGTAATACTTTCTTTTTTACCATTTCCTACCATTTTTTCCCCCCATTTTCCTCATGGACACCTGTACCTCTGTCAGGGTCTGCTGACCATTTGTGATAATGTAATAAAGATGTTTTACTTACAAAGATGGCACAGGTCGTTTAATCCTCACAGCCGTCACCTCTCGGTCGCTGTCGTCTTGCTCGAGTTTGTCCTCTGCTTCCCCATAGCCACTGTCCTCTGCATCCAGGCTGTCATCGTGACGCTTAAGCAGCAGTTCTTCCTTAACCCCCTCTTTGTCCTCCTGTTCCATCTGTTTCCAGCCCTTGGTCAGCTCTGATACCACGTTTGAACACTTTCTCCTTATGGTTGGAGATAATTTGTCACTAAGGATTTTGTCAATAGCACTTGATTCTTCTTTAAGCTTGGTCATCTCTGAGCTACTATTCTTATTCTCGTATCTTTCACTGAGGAGGCTAACATCACCTCCTCGTTCGTAGCCTTTGCTTACAACTGTTTTGGTCACCTCTTTGCTTTTAAAACTGAACTTTTTGAGGGCTTCATCTGATTCCCTTGATTTTTTTTCAGTGTCCCTTATTGTTACTGATTCCTTTGCTGAGGATTTTTCGTCATCTTTTCCTTGGTCCCTCTTGACAGATGGAATTGGCCATTTTTCAAAAGATCTTTCTTGTACAGGGTAAGCTGATAAGTCTTCTGTAGGGGGGACCCATCCAGAGGGCTCTTGGGCTTGCTTTACATGGTGGTCAGACACCCACTGCTGCCAACCTCGCGCCAAGCTGAAGACTAGGCTGGCCATTCGGATCTTGTGGACAGCCCTTTTTGCAGGAGTAGCACTCGGCTTTTCTTCAGGAGCCATGTTGCTGTCTGCTGCCATGCTGGCTTTTCCTCTTCTTATGCTAAGCACCTTCTGAATGAACTTCCTGAAGTGAATAATGTTCCCCGAAGAGAGCTACGGAGATTTAAATAGAAGCAGGAGCAGTTTGTGCCCATGGAAAATATGTGAAACACTTCTCACAAAGATATAGTATCCTCACTGTTACAGAGGTCTTTTTTTAAAACACGGGGTTGCATTTCATCACAGCAGATGAATGATGCATGATGTAAACAGGGTGACACAGACGCACTGGAAATAGTGGGAAATTAACAGCTTCTTTAGTCCCTCTTCCCTGGGACTGCTCAGTTCTCAATTTGTTGGCAAGGGTCTTGTTCTTCTGGAAGTGCAGAACTTGGGTTAAAAATACTGAACAGAGTGAAAGTGCTAAATGTGAAGTGCTGTCAGGTGCTGACAACTTTGGCCAGAGTAGAGACCCCTCATCATCACAAGTAAATAGTGGCCCTCATCATGGAGTGTAAAGCCAGAAGCAGGCTATGAATGGGAAATTTTTAGATGATTTTTCTAAAAAGATGCTAGGTGATTTCTTCTTATTGCTCATATGTCCAAAGAAATCCAGGTTTGTTAATTTTTTAAAAGGTATTTATGTGCTCTGCTCCCAGTCATTATCTATTAATGTCTTGTCTATTTAGAACATACCTTCAGGAGGGTCTGGGAACACTATCGTGTTTGGTGTCAGCGCTAAGAATAAGGGAATCACTCTCTCTAGTCTGGGGATTAATATAGTAAGTCTGACTTGATCAGATGGATGAATGCTGACCTAGTTCTAGGATTTTGAAAAAATAAAGTATAGCCTGTTTATTCCTGACTGCTTTTCACGAAATTTGTATATAAAACGTAGTGTTTACTTGTATATTATTTATAGCATAATTATGTTTAGTATATAAAGTATAGAAAAAATTGAACTTCCTAGGAAAGTTTGTGATTTCTTCATTCCAGAGGACTTCCTGGAGTATGTTCGTATTTGAATTTGTAAAATTGTTTAGTGAATTGATACATCAATTTTTACATAAATAAACAGCCATTATCTGAGATACAGTCCTGTGGTATCGTATTTCTTAGTATAATGTTTCCTAAATAGGAACGGAAAATGGCATTGCTTTTTCCATCCATCATACCTTGCAGCTTACAGGATGACGGGTGGCACTTGCCATGTGGCGCTCTGAGGCACCGTGAACTTCAAGGAATTCTGTTGGCTTCGTTGGTGTTACACCAGAGATAAATATGGACTCTTGGTACTCTGCCTTTTTCTCTTCTCTCTATTAAAGGCTGGGCTGTTTGAAGTAGTTTAGATCATATCTAGCCCTTGTTTAATAATATAAGATTATATCATACCTTTGACTTCTAGGCAGAATTCCTCATTAATCTATAGGGTCATTTCCTCTTCAAAACTGATGACATAATGTGAGTTAGTGTTGCTATTTGATATTTACTCATACTTTTATTTTAGAAAGAAATGTGTCACCTCTGTATACTGTACAATCTCAGCTATTACCAACTGCATCATAACTCTGAAATGGCATTGTGAGGTGTACTGATGCAACTTGATTAAGAAGCATGTGTTACCAAACATTTATTTTGGTGGCTTTTTAAGGCTAATCAGGAATGGGAGCTTCTTGTGTTTAAAAAGTACACATGCGCATGCAGGGTGGTGCATGTTCCCTAATATACAAGGAAGATGCAAGTGAAAGAAGAGAATAATGCACATGAAGAGTAAGAGTATGACACCAGCTCATTATATCATTCCCTATGATTTCTTGAGTATAAGGGTGGCCAAGGCTTTAGGAATGAGCTGAAAGCTAAGTAGTAAGGGGTGAGGCCAAGGAAGAAGTGCAGTGAAACTTAAGTGAAAAGACTGTGGAAGGATAATCATGGAGTGTAAGACCAATAGGGACCTCTGTCCTAAGGTAGGATCAGCTCTACCTGCATCTGTTCAGGTTCCTATTTTACCTGTTCTTAAGGACTACCAGCAGTAGATACTCCCCACTCTGCCTAGGCAATCTGTTCCAGGGGTTAACTGGCTTAAATGAAACATTTTCTGAGGTCTAACCACCACCTCTGTCACAGCACTTTAAGCCTCTATCACTGCCGAGAACAGACAAATCCCACCCTTTCTGAGGTAGCCTTTCTTTGCAAAGACTGCTGTATTCCTCCTAAATCTAAATGGCTTCAATTTTTCCCAATTTTTCTTGTGTTTTCATGATCCCTGATCA